CTCTCTATCTTCGTAGAAGCGGAAACCAATAATCGAAAATATTTCGGATTATTTGAGTTACGTCTTCGAGAGATATATAAGAAAGATATCGCGTGTAGAATAGATGGGCGAGTGTGTGAGGGATCCCTTTTTTTTTTTTTTTTTTTCTTAAATTCCTTTATTATCTTCATTTTTTCCTCCTAGACAAAGTTTTTAAATATTGACATAAAAGTGCGCAAACCAGTTTTATATGCTTATCGGATATAGTATCGCGTGCGTTTAAAAATTAAAAAAAAATGAAAAAGACGCGCAAGTTTTTCATGATCGTCGGTTTCTTTTCCCGACGCTATACTCCCCTTTGCAAGATCCCGGATTTTCGGCTTCTCGTTAACCGAGATATTTATCGACCGGTTGAAGATTTAAACACACACCTGCTTTTATTCTCTCGCGCTTGATCGACTTTCTCGGTATATTATTCGAGACATTTGAGACTGTGTGCGTGCTACATTCACCTACTACGAAGCCACACGAAATCGCGGGAATTATTCGGGTCGGGTCTTGATTTCGTCGTTGTTTGCGGGTCCCAGTTTTACGAACCTCGCGCGGAAATGACGGAAGTGCGGAACACTTGAACGTTACGACGAACAACGCGTAATTGTCTCCACTTAATATTTCATCGTAACAGATGCGTAATATGTTTGTTTTATATTTTTTTATTATTTGTACGTGCGCGTTGACGCGCGTCGAGTTTTCAAATAATTCTCTTGCGCAATTTCACAGTTTTTCCTTCCGTATTTTCCTGTGTGTGCAATGTGTGCGACGTGTATGTAAATCTCTATTCGTGACATTAAAAAAACATACGAGAATACGCATCAGCGTTGCATCGCGCGAAACGATCGGATTACGTGACAAAAAAAAAACAAAAAAAAAAAAACGCGCGTCGAATAAACAAACGGTACGTTGCAACTTCGACATCCGGATAAAACGCTCGAGAGGGATGCTCCGTTAATTGATACGCGAGACGAGATGATCTATGCTTTGCGCGGTCCCGAAGATATGACAGTGCACATCCCGATCCTTCGCCTTCGTCTGAAGGAGATTCGCTCGAGGATTAATATCGTCCGATTCTCTTTTCATCTTTCTCTTTCTCTCGGAGTTGCAAAGTTGCATCAACGTCGCGGAATTCGCGCGATCGATGAACGGTTCCGCCACGAACAGAGAGAAAGAGCTCCGTTCGTGTCTTATCCGCGTGATCTAATCGCGTATTCCGCACGGTAGCGCCGCCCACACGACGCCCGATGACGACGCCCGCGCGCGTTTGTATGCACGCGGTTACCGAATCTCCAACTGGCAAAGTCTCCCGGGCCTTTGACTTTTTCACCTCCAGACAGGGATCATTGATTTCGGCGAAGGCCGCGACGCAAAAGTTGCGCGATAATAGCCGCGCGAAACGATCCGCACACACAGAACGCGCTTGACTATTTGCGGAACGTCCTACCTACGGACTGCCGCTGAATATTTTTTTTTTTTTTTTTTTCTTGAATGCTCATTAGCTTTCGGTTTCGATTCATCAATTTTAATCAGTTATCGGACGGCGCGTGATCTTCAAAATAAACTTTTCACTAGGAGATTTGAATTCTTTTTGACTTTATTCAAATATTGTATTACATTTCATCCGCGCGAAAAGAAACACCTGGCCGAGAACATCTCAGACCTGAAATGAACCACGAAATGTCCACAAAACATGTCGATATAAAAATACACTAGCGCGAAAACCGTCGTTCAAACCCAAAAATCATCTTTTTATAACACACAAAGATCATCAAATGTCACATTATTAATATCATCGTGTGCGTTGGGTAATATGTATTTGTATACAAAATTTGTACACATTTTCGTGACAGAAGTAGAGAGTCGGAAAAAAGTTGTTAAAAAATAACAAAGAGGCAAAATATTTTCTTATTATTTTCTCTGTTTTACGAGCACAATTTTTTTTACGTGCAGCAATCGTAAATGCTGTACAGTCGCACCTTTTGCCTTCACGTGTGACATAAAGATATAGACGCCGAGATATTTTTGATATCGTCTCAATGCCACTCGTGTCGTTTACGTCGATCGTAAAATCTGTCATAGTACGTGAACACACACAGCGAGCATAACGCGGAACGGATGTAATTCCGGAGCTGCGCGGTACCTACGCGCTCGTGTGAGCGATCATCTCATCAAATAACCGATTTCGGCATCGCTTGTGCGTCATCGACGAGCGCGCGCGTTCGATCGTATGAATGAAAACGAGGAGAAAGCTCGCGCGGAAAGATAGAGAGATATATATATATACATATACGCGCTCGCGCGCGCACGTGTGTGTACGGTAGGGCGCGCGCGGTAGAGGCTCCGGCATTTAAATGGGATTTAAAGTGAGCGCACAGTCGAAACAAGTTGCGGAGGTCGCGTTTTAACCGTGAACGACCGTGAGAACGACCGTCTTTCTCTCAAATTGGACGCGATGTCGTTTCTCTCTCTGCGTCACGTCTTTCTTTTCGATTACGATCTTCTTCCTCGCACGGTAATGATTGATGATTTGTTCCTTTTTGTTTATCGGTAAACGAATTTGCAACGTAATACAAAAAAAAAAAAAATATCTAAATATCCAAAGATGACATCTTGGAGGACTCGAGCGAGCAACATTTGATAATCTAGTATTTGTCTTAGACATATTGTCTTAGACGCGTCGTCACGTTTGTCATCGACAATTGCATTGAAACTTTCTCTCGCTGGTTACTTTCTACGCGATTCTCTAACAAACGCGCGCGCGCGCGCGCAAGAGCTCACGAGATGATAATGCAACAATCGAAGTTATTTGTTGAGCGCTTATTTCGTGAAAAAAATGTTTGCAATTATGTCGTAGCAACGCGATAACGATCCTATTTTAACTCTTCGTATTTCACAGGCCATTAATAGCAACTTGATGAGTTTGTCGAAAGAGACGAAAAATTTTTGTATCTTACGGATTTCATCGTCGTTTACATCGTCGTTTGTGTCATATTCAGCCGAGTGTGTTATTTATCAGTTTTTACTATCAGCATTATTCTATCACTCTTATGAGGATTATTAAAAAAAAAACAAAAAACTGAATTTAATTACTTTAAATTTTACGGTCTGCGGATTACCCGTTGGCCTTGAGTTTACTCGGTCATTGACCAAGGCTTTTAATTTTAGCCACTACAGTATTGTGCGTGTAATAGGAATGCCGTTCGCGCGATTAATGTTACACACAACTCGCGTTACACGCTTTCGTCGAATCTGTTACGGCGCGTTATACAACTATAAAACCGCGGGTAGCCGGACAACCGCGCACGTTTGACATTGAAGATTTGACATTGATTACACGCTAAGTGTGTGCGAGCGAGCGAACGAACGCGCGCGCGCGCGCTCAACCGCACATCTCGCGACTGCATCTCTTCCTCAACTCGTTTCCCGCGCGTACCGAGTTTTAAATTCGAAGGATATTTATTCCCGTCACGAGGAGAGCATTTTTTTTTTTTTTGTACGCGATCGTCGCTCGATAATGTTTTTCCTGTTACTTCCCATCGCGGACGCGCGATACCGATGGCATTACACGCGATCGCTTTCAACGATATTCCCGCGTAACGCGCTCACGAGTACACATCGCTCTCACGAGATTAAGAGTATAATCTACTTTTTTTTTCCCCGAGGATTTCACGTCAGAGTGATGTATCGCCGCGCTTAAAAACTGCTTAAAATCTATAGCGATGCGCGCGCGCACACGCACACGCGCGCACACACGCACACGCGCGCGCGCACTACCTGTCGGGAATTTCGCACCATACTCGACCGTCGAGGACACCACCGCCTGTCTTCTAACGCGCCTTTGTCATTAGCGCGAGGCCACGTAGAAGAGAGACATAATTGCGAAACTCCTCGGCAACTACCAAGGTCGCCGGACTTTTTCTTTCTAATCTAACGGGAATGGCTGTTCTCGTCGTTGGTGTCGTTGAACGTTTAATATAGAGACCTTGGTATTGAGCCTACATATTGATCAGAGTCTTTCCTTGACGCGATCGCGATCTTAACAAGCGACACCGAGAGATGATTTCGATTCTATTCGGCACGGTCTTATCTGATATTTTAAGCGAGTACCCTATAAATCCTGCATGTGTATCAGAATATCTTTTTATAAATCTATGATTGACGTTTGTACGCGCTGAACTAGTTTTGCGCCGTGGACTTCTTCCAAGGAATTTTTATTAGTTGTTTGAATGTAATTTTATAAAATTTATAGAGGGATAAATATTTTTCTTTCATAATTAATATTAATAACGGTTTGATGAAACAATTATAAAACTAAGAAAAACCAAAGAGCCTATGTTCCAGGTTTTTATTTTATTTTAAAAAGAATTTAGTTTATAAAATGGATAATTTGTATATCAGAGATGCAAATTAAGCATCTCGGATGAATTTTTGAATTGAAATTAATTCAAGTTTTTATGTGTATTAATTTACATATTATTTATATTATATACATAAATAATACAAATTAAGTATAAATATATATGAATAATATACATGTATATTGTATTTATACATATCATTTATATTATTTAAAAAATATAAATATTTTTACGTACATCCGGCTTGTATCGACTTTTTAAAATATCTGCTACTTGAAAACTTTTGTGAGCTTAATATTTGTTAGAACATATTGTATTTTTCTCATAACAATATTAAAGAAAGAAGAATATCTCAATATCGACAATCAAATCGATCGTTAAAAACTCGCGTAATTTGATCCAACTGGATTGTAGGAAAAAAAAGAAAAAAAGAATCACACACAGTCGTGTATGATAAAATATATTTAATATCTGGAGTAAGTCGCGCGATAGGAAATGCGGTCGAGTCGAGTGGTGTTCGAAACGCCCGCGGACATTTCTTAACGGGCGATGTCTGTCGATCCGCTCTTAATTATTAAGGGGCTCACCTTTCTCCGAAATTCTTTGCAGAAGGTTCTCGGCGAGAGGCTGGACAATAGAGTTGACGGCATGCTGGAGGCCGGTCTGGTGCAGGAATTACTTGACTTTCATCGCCGATACAACGAAGAACGACTCAAGTCCAACACGTGAGTGTCACACTAATTAGTTAATGATAATGTTCCGTATCGTTGCGGGTTCAAAGATAGATATTTACTCCGCCGCTTTGTTTTTTTTCTTTCTCTCGCTTGATCGTCTTATTTAGCATCTATATTTGATGTCGCATTAATGCAACATTTTTTGTTTTTCCTGTTTATCCTGTTTTGATGCCGCCGCGTTTATTGTGACAAAAAAAGTGGACAAACATTTTTAAAAAATCCTTATGCAACGAGCAAAGTTTCTTTATATTGTAACTGGAAAATGCAAATAGAAGCGCGTCAAGGATAACGAGTGAAGGATCAATTTAAAATTCTCTTATCACGATTTCTCTCGATGTAAAATGAAAAATCTTCCGGCGCGTTTCATACGACGCGCTTATAAATTCCCTCTCCGTTTGTCGCGCGCTGTTTGTCATAAAAACTACTATATTTATCATCCCGAAACATGTTTTCGGAAGATAAATTTTTTTTTTTAACACAAACTAATGTTTAAACAATCAGTTTGTTAAATATAAAACTTGTGTGCGTAAAAAAAACGTCAGCTCGGGAATATTTCCTCCGCGATATTTCTTCTTATGTATATGCAAAGTATTGTGAGTCAGGTTTTTATCGGACGTCATAGTCACTTATTGATACTTCCTCGTAAAACGTCAGGTAGAAAAAAAAGATTTATAATTACCTGATAGACGAATGAAATAAATTTTCTTTTGTGCGAAATCCAGCCGTTGTTTTTTTTTTGTTTTGTTTAACGGTCAGTCGTAAGGAAGTCAATTGAAATAATGTTTCTTGCAAATGCACGTCGATGCGTGCGTGCACCGCAGCAATGCGCTTCGTTGAATTTGCAAGTTGTGCCTCGGCATATACGCACACGTGACTCGGCGACTCGACGTATATACTGTATATCGCTGCTGCAGACATGCTTTGTGAATGGGGCCCCTCTTGCCTTGTCGCGCCTCGACTTACTCACTTCCGGAAGTCGCAGGCGTGTAACGCCAAGGCGGATGTCGGCGCAAAAATAAAGGAAGTAGCCGACCGCGAGGAAAAGCACGAGGAGGAGGCGAGCGCGATTACGTGCGCGCGCGGTGCCGGGCACCGAAAATTAATCACCATTTAATGAGCCGCCGTCTTCCTTTCCGAAAGGAAAGAAAAAGATACCGGTTTCGAACAATTGAGACGACGCGGCTTCTCACCTTAAAAAACCGAACCGCCGTCGCGTGAAAATTTCTTTCCAGAGAAAAAAGAAGCGCAGGAATAATAATTTGCTCGACAAACTTGTAGTAATAGAAAACTTAGCAACTTGCGTGCATTTGTTTTTATGTACAAATACATGATCACCTCAAGGATTGACGTTGGACGCACGCGTCGAGCGACAAACTCGATTTAGTTTCAACGCGAGAAACTCTGGGGTTATATCAAATGTTTCTTAACAATTCATGACTAAAGTAAGGTCACGTGACAAAGAGGAAAGGAAAAACAAAACGTGACTAAAGTCACGTGTCTTGAAATAAAACTGTGGATTGAATTGACACAGTACTCGCCAACACACAGAGAAACGGAACAAAGCATGAGCGTTTTACAAATCATTTAATGACACATATGAGAGGTGTCAGAAATAAACGCATGAAAATCAAACTCGTAAAATAGAGAGAGGGAGGAGTGGAAAAACAACATGTGACTAAAGTGACTTATTACAATCTTTTATTACGACTTCCTCCCGCTCGCCGTAACAATCGCAGTACAGAAGATAAATAAGAGCGTGGCTAAAGTTCAGTCGCGGAAATAAAACACGGCGGCGTCTTTCTTTCTCTCTCTCTTATCCGTCACTTCCTTGATCGCGGAGGTTCTAAAGCGAGAAATCAGAACGGTCGGATTGTGCGATGAAAAATACATCCGAGGTTTACGCGCGAGCATAAGGTCACAGTTTAAATGCGGGAACGAGAGAGTTTAAAATGTTGTCTGAGAAACGCGAATGGGAGTATAACGGCGAATCGTATTATGAGATGGCATAATGTTACACCACTTTGCGCGTCGTGTCACATTGTGCACGCGTTGCACATTCTTGCGCAACATGTGCAATCGTGTTGACGACTGCAATACACACACTCATCTCCTTGTATTATATATATTTTGCGTGTATATAGTCTTCCTAGCAAGTTTGACACACATGTGACACTTGATCTTCGTACACAAACATAAAAAATAACGTGCGATAATTGTACAGAATAATTGTACAGACTAGATCTGTGAGACCCGCGCGACTTTGAAATCGAATATCTCCGCTAAAAATCAATATTTTTTCAATTTTGTTTTGTTTTTTTTTTTTTTTTAATCGAAGGTTGAATGATTCTGCGTTTATAAAAAAAAACTAAATTGAAAAAACTTCTAGTAGTTTCGAAGATATAAACGTTTAAAAAACCTAATTTTTACTAAAGACTTCGATACGTAAGTTTTGAATGGGTCTGGGACTCATGTCTGTATACTTGAAAGGTTAATAATTAAAAAAAAAAAAACAAATTCGAATCACTGTTACAAGCCGTTACATGTTTCGCTGTTTAACGAAGCGATTTAAAAAAAGTCGCTCTCGCACGCAAAGCAAACCACCATTAAATCACGGAATTCTGCGGTCGGCCGCGGGCTTCGGTTTATTTGTTGTGTTTCGCGCCGAGGAAGAGAAAGATCCGATCCGTTCACATCGCGTCAAATCAAATTCCGCGAGTAAGCCGATGGTCGCCGCTAACGAAATATCTCGCTCTCCGCGCGTTTTCTTCGCAAAACCATCGATCGATAAGAAACTTGTTACTGTTACACAAATACGCGACAAATTAGCGCAGCTTGTCGACCGCGCGAAGTCCGATCGATCGTTTCTTCATTCGTTCTCGTTTTACAATTTCAAAATTGTCGGATTTAACGTGATTTGTTGACACTGCGAGTAATCCAGTTTCCGAATTTGAAACACGACGAGTCTAAAAGAGAACGAATTGATCGGCGACCCACTTGCGTTCAATTTTCGAGAACAGTTCGCAAAATATAGAATTTGTAATTCAACAAAATCGAATTATATTTTGTTTTCTCCCGATTCTTCGCGAGTTACGTTCCTCGCGCGCGTGTTTCGCATGTTACGCTGTTTTTTTTTTCCAAAACAGCGCACTTTCAAAATAAACTCGCGCGAATCACCGGCGGACGATCATTCGGCTATTTCTATCGGGCAGAGGCGCGCGAAATCTTGCGAGCGCGACTCTTTCCTCGACGCTTTCTTCGCGCGCGGCTTCGAGATCTGCTCCGTTGTGATAACAGACGGGAAAATCGTGCAACGCAAATAAAATGGCATATCGGTCACGCTCGCGTTTATTGCCGGGCCACGTCCGCTCCGTATCTTCCTTCTCGCACACAGGCGGGAGTGAGGATGGGCGCCTCGAGCTGTCTCCGATTTGTTTGCGAAATAGCTGAACCAAACGTGATCCGCGCCACGGCGCAGATATAGAATTGTAACGAGAAAAAAAAAAAAAGAAACGTCAGCGAAGCACCATAGGGCGCAACCATAGTAGGAACGAAATTGCGGGTTTTCTTTCTCGGCCGCAAATAAATTAGACGATCAAATTGATCGCATCGTATGTATCAACGTCCGATAGCGAGTGTAGTCCTTATCGCTCGGAAATCTACAGCGATGTAATTATTTATCCGACTCGGATCTTTTGCACAAAAATTTCTAGTAGTAGTTTTATAATCGCATGACCGGGAGGGAATCGTGCTGGAAACCTGCACCGAAACGAATCGCTCGCGATTCTTTTCCCGTCGGAAGGCGCGGCCGCGTCCACATCGCGTGCGACGATTTCTCTTATCGATGTAGGTAGGTAGGTAGATAGGCAGGTAAGCAAATCCAGTTGGTTATCAGTCAGTCAGTCAGTCAGTCAGTCAGTGCGCGCTCTCGCTTCCACTTACATAATCGGTGCCGATAATACGGGCCGATCTCTCGTCTTCTGCGATTTCTCCGTGAGCTCTTTTGTAAGCGCGGAGTCGCTCAATTTTCCCCAAGATAAATTTCTTATCGATAAAAGCGGCCGCTTATAAATACCGTCCGGTCATTTATCTCTAATTATCACTGACCGCCTGTACGCACATGGCGCATCCGCCGCGCCGCTATGCAAATCGCCGACGCCGCCGTCGGCGCGATTGCGGCACGTGTGCCAATACGTGCCGCATAACGAGAACTTGACGAAGCGATTATATTGAATTACATCGAAAAGTCGGGAGATCAATCATATCTGCCAGTCGATTCTTCTCTAATGACAATAAAAGTATTATAAAAAGTTTTTTTAAATTGAATCAAGAAGCGGAACTTTGACAGCCGTACGCTGCTTGTACGCGCGCGAGAATATATTTTCAACGTGTAAATCAATGCACACACGTAGAAAACATTCGAATTGAATAAAAATTTTAAAATTCACACGTCACTTTGCATTTGTTATACAATTCGAATTTGTTATGTATTAAATGTGTATTAAAAAAATTTTCACGTTAAAAATAGTTTTACGCACGTACAGTATCCCGCTGTAGATATACAACCGTATATGACGGACGGAAGTAGTACAGTGGTTACACATACTACTGTACGTCTGTCTGAACGGCTTCTACTTCTCTTGCCCCTGTGTCTCGGCAGCGAACTTACCAGCGAGGAACTTCCGTCCGACATATACGCGGCGTGTCCTATTTCTTGATTTAATTTATGGATTCGTATATTTGTTTTAATTTTTTAATATTAAAAAGATTAAATAAAAAAAAAACGAAGAGGATTGAAATTGGAACATGATAATAAAAATACGTGAAATATGTGTCGATGTTTGCAGCAATATAGTAAAAAAAAATATCTGTGCGATAAAGCGAAACAGATTTGTTGGCACGACTTCGTAAGGTGTAGATAAGCGCTTTATCGTGTTTTATCATACACATATTCGGGTCGCAAATCCAATTTAGAAATATTGAAGATGTAATAATCGCGATGAGAGAGAATAGAGAGATAAATCGTCAATGTTTAATAAACTGAATAGATAATGTCTGAATTAGTAATTACTTGAGAATTCTTGTGTCTAGTCTCTCTGACATTGCTGCGATAAGATCGATTATGAAGTCAAAACGGCAAAGCAATTTCAAACTGCTCCGGGAAACGAAACCGTTTCGCCGAATTGGTAGTTCGCGAAACTACTGCGAGAAATTTGCATCATTAACATTTAATAAGATGATTTATCGGTTTATCGCTGTTTATGATAACTGCTGGAACTTTGTTTTAACATTGTTGACATTGATTTTCCGACATTGCTGACGAAATCAAAACATAAACTAAATCCCCAAACGAAACATAACGGTTTCGTCGAGTAGTTAATGCGATACAGAACTGTAACGGAAAATTTCAGTAGAATTTTTTCTCTATCTCTTAAATAAATATCAAATTTATGTTCCGGAAAAGTTAGACGGTCTTATCTTATAGATCTTGTTCTGCATACCATATTGATATATTTTATCTCGATACAAGAGCGAAGGTCTCTAGAAAGTATTTAACGCCGTTGAGTAATTGATGAGAGGAAGAGACCGTCTGCTATCTCGCGAGATCTTTGATAAATTACGGGCGATAGATAATCAAGATCACATTTTATCTAACTACGTTGAATTTAAATATCTCCCAGTCCGGTGGTGTGGACTCTCTTGTATCTCAATCGCGACGCTCTTTAAATGTAACATTGAAAATGATGCGTCGTTTCACTCATGATTATCATTATGTCACCGATCACACGCGCAATGTAATTCTCTTATCTCGACAATATGTGCAATAAAACGTATCAAAGTCTCGAAAAAAAAAAAACTTCATTTACACAAGAATACACTTGGGAGAGACCGAGAGGCGCCAAAGTGATATTCAATAAATAAATTGTAACAACTTAACATAGCGGAGAAGAACGTTCTCATACATTTAGCAAGCGAGATACAAGCTGTGCGACAACTCAGCCCCAGTCTTCCCCTAGTTACTTTCAAATATTACCGCCACCATACATCGGAATTCGCAATATCGTACGTTCGCAAATTGCAAATTGTACACACGTGCGCGGAGTTGCTGACCGACGTTACAAAATAAATTTGTTCCAAACGCATAGTCGCAAGTGACGTTACGTAAACGAAAGTGCAGTCGATAATAAGTCGCGATCAAAGATCAGAAATGCCTTGCGATCTTTTAATCGTGTGTTACACACACACACACACACACACAGAGAGAGAGAGAGAGAGAGAGACGAGTGAACATTGTTCGCTCGAGCGGATGATTATTCGCAATCATGTTGAAAAGAGCCCCATTGTGCCAAAGAACAGACGAGATTACTATCAAGATGTATGGACGACGACAAACCGTGTGTCGGAAAATAATACGGCGCCGTTGTATTACGCTCTGTTAACCTGCAACGATGCTATTAATGGCAAAATCGTGCGCAATGTAGCATACATAATACACGCTTTATCGAGACGGTGACCGCGACGGTGGCGACGTGTATCGATGTAGATCGATTGGCCTTGAATTGAAAGATTAACGATTGTCGGAGCCCTCTCTCTCTCTCTCTCCCCCGCATCGTCTTCTGCTATCGATCGTCTCTCGGAGAAGGGTTGCGAGAAACGAAAAAAAAAGTCCGCGACTTTCTTCTTCCGCTCGTTGACGAATCTGCGGGTGAAAGTTCGTCGATTGATTAAAAATTTCTCGCTTCAACTTTCAACGTCAATACGCGGATTATTTTATGCAAAAAGAAAGATGCAAAATTACGTATTTTATGTTCTTCGCTGAACTATTTTAGTTGCGATAAATGTCACGACTGTGAAAAACCAGGTATACAAGAAGAAAGACAGACCAGCGCGCGTGCACTATTGGTTTACGAAGACCATAAATCCTGGAGGCAATAGCAGTCGATTATCTCTCCGGTGGCGATAACTCCATATTTTGTGGCAAAGAAAATGTAATATCGAGAGACATATGTACCGAGAGAGCTGCCTGGCAACAAGTTGTAAAAATATTTAGAGCGGTTACGTATACACGCGCGCGCGCGGCGCGGCGCTTGGTTATTGCTGACACTCTGTCGTTATCTTAATTACAAGCTGTAGTGCTGTTACTGGCGCACAAGTGCTATCATTGCTACCAGTTGTGGCCCGTACGCTCTGTCGTTAAATATCATCGCGACTATTATCAGTGCTTTAGTATTATCATTATTATACTTTAAAGCTAAAAAATGCTGACCGAGAGAGAGAGAGAGAGAGTACGAGCCACAGTCTCGTTGTTGTTCTTGGATGGAGTGAGAGATTCGTGCGGAAAATAATTGTATTCTTAATCTGTAATTAATCTCGATCTAAAAATAATCTGTAATTAATTCTCAAATATTTTACAATTCTATTTTCTCCTATCGACGTATAAAGTCGTATTAAATCACGAAATAATAAAACGTTTAAATATAATTAATTAACAAATGAACGTGAATTATACAAAACTTTTGAGGTATTTAGTAAATAAAATTAGATGTATTTTAATCGTCTCTTCGATTTAAATTGGATATAGAGGTTTTATTTTTATCAAAAACCTTATTGAATGCGTGTTTCAAAAATTAATAAAATTGTTAATGCGATCGATCTTTCGGAATTTCAGAATCAAAATTTAAATAAAATTTTAACAATAAAACAAACAAACGAAGAAAATTAATTCAGAATATATTATATATTTCTTGTTATTAATTCGGAGTAATTTGCAAAAGATGCTTGTGTGAATTTAACTTCTCGACACCAGCATATACAATTGGCATTGACACGTGTGCAACTGGCGAGTCGTGCTCGCGATAGCGACCGGCTTTTTCCCGCCAAATGTAAATCGATGTTACTCAGAGCGAGGTCGTCACACGATTACTAATCAACCGCGTGCGTGTGTGATAAGAGTTTGCGTAAGTCATACGCGCTTGTATCGTTAATTCTTGACAAAAAAAACTGCATTCAGATTCAAATGACCGTAAATTAGTCTCGGCAGATGTGTGATAGCAACACGCATTTAGAAAAATACGAATGTTAATATCAACACGTATATGGTACTATTGTCCAAGAAAAAAACTACTTTATATTTAACTATTCTGTATTCGCGTCAATTTTGTTTTGCAAAAAAGCGAGGTTTTAAACTTTAGATAACGAAGTTGTCACTTGGCTAAATAACGAGAAATTGATTAAATAACTTCTTGCTTTGGCTGTTTTTTGATATTGTTTCTTCTTTCTCTTCTCACTGTCTGAGACTTTCTTTGAACGATATTACTCACTTATACATTATAATTGCACGATCGTATAATTAAAAATAATTATCAGCGTTATCTCTGCACTTCCTTTCCCGCCATGTATGTACAACCGCATGGCATTACGCAATTATGTACTGTGTATCGGAATCTCGAGGTTCGAAAAAAAAATCCGTTCCTCACGTAATTATCTGTGCGATATAATTTATCTTGTCGAAACCTCGATTAGTTAGTTCAATTTTCAAGAGAAGACTGTGTACTTTGTAGTAAAATCGTTTATATTAATGAATTCAACGTCTTTCTCACATCGAAATGGATATTTTTTTCAATTCATACGGCGCGGAATTATTCACGCTGCTACGCGCAACGTGAATTTCATTTTGCGGTGTGTTATAATTAACGAACAAAAGCGTTTTATATATATATATCTATCTTCGAAGTAATCCGTGAACATTGTCATTAATGGATTTTAAGCGGGAACGGAACCCAAAAGGTTGCGCTCGCGTGTATAAAAAGTCGACGAAGTGCGTCGCACGCAATTTCTCTGATTGCACGATCGCATTCAATACACGCGCATGCACACGCACACGTCAGATGTTCGGATTGTAAATTAGTGGGAGAATTATAAATTTAAACGATTATTAGCGACGACAATGCGCTATACGGACGGGTGAAAGGAGAGAGGCAGAAAGAGAGATAGAGGGGAGGAGAAAGAGAGAAAACTCTGTCGCGAATCGAATCGAACGACGATTGAAGAGAGAATGTTTACACATTCCAGGTCACCCGATTACACGAAAGGCATCTTCCAGAGCATCGGCTTCAAAGAGTTCCACGCTTACCTCACACTGCCTGAGGAGGAACGCGCGAGCGAGAAGGTAAGTGACGTGCAGATGGCACGCCGATACGCCAGCATCCGCACACAAGACCCGCTTTGCCTCAGCAGCTGCTTCTCCCCGGCCGGGATCTTCCCCGACTTTTTCTCCCATTAAAATGCACCGTGCGATTTTGCAGCTCGCGCGCGCTATTGCGGACTCTCTCGCGGTTGTATATCTCCGCGGTACCTTTTACCTTTTACTTTTGCGGCCTTTCGCTTTTTGTTCCCGTATCATTGTGCGATACTTTCTCGGAAGACTCGTGTGTATCGCGTACATTTTTATTTGCAATCGCGCCTACGATTTTAAACGTCGACGGGTTCGGTGACGATAACAAGTCGCGCTTGTTGCACAACGAAACGCAATGTGGTGCAAATGCTATAAACGACGCGATTATAAAGCGAGAAAAGATCCAAGAGAAACAATATTCAAGCGGATGTTAATTAACGACTCGAATTATACAACGTGGTAATTATTACAAATAGCGCGGGGGGGGGTGGGGACTGATATCTGTTGCAGGGAAATCTATTGCTCCAGCAGGGAATTAAAGATTTGAAATTCGTTACTCGAAGATACGCGAAGAAGCAAGAGAAATGGGTGATGAACAGACTGATTCGACGTGGTGACCGGCAGGTAATTAATTTTCGGCTCACTTCGTCATCGTGTAGAAGACACACGCGTGTGTGTAAACGTTTGATACCTGTGTAACAATTTGATTTGAAACAAACTCTTTATTCATCTCTCTCTCTCTCTCTGGTGGAAAGATTCGTTTCTCCAGTGTTTAAATTGAGCAAATACGATACGGCGTTTCGTTTTGTTTTTGTTTTTTCGAGGTCCCTCCGGTTTACTCCTTAGATTGTAGCGACGTGACCAAGTGGAACTGCCACGTCTTAGAACCTGCAGCGGCGATTATTTCCGCAATATTGCGCGGCGAGAAACCCGAACAGCGACCGATCAATGAAAATGTCGAGAACCAAAAAGTCACCGACAGTAGTACAAACATGTATAATTATTGCGAGGTAATTATAAAGAATTCATCGCGTGCCATTAAATTAAACTTTTTTATTAACAAAAAACTTGAAAGATATTTCGACACATTCCAATAATATTTGTTTATGTAACATTTACATAATCGAAAATATTCCGTTGTACACGGTCTAATAATATTTTTTATATTATTTACATATTGACGATTTGTTTTTCATTATTCTCTGCCGATTTCTGCCTGAGCAAAACACACACTGAGCAAACATGCAATTCCGGAAAATAAATATCCTTTTTTTTTGTACACGTTATGTTACAGGTATGTGAAAAAATATTTGTTGAAAAGGATCAGTGGCAAGCTCACTTAAAAGGCGGCAGACACATGAGAGCTTTGAAGAGACTCAAAAGGAGAGAAGCGGAGAAAGAAAAGGAACAAACTCAAGAAAACGAGTTGAGCACGAACTCGTGACGAATATCAGTACCGCATAAATAATGTGTGAACATTCGTTCTTGCGTGGCTATCAAAACTGTGATTACTGTATATTTTACAAATAAATGTTCAAATAAATGTTTATGTATATACAATTTTTTTCTTAAACAATTTGTCTTAGAAAGTTTTCTTTGTTATCAATGATTGGTAGGTAAAATTTGATGTTATCTATAGGTGCTAACTTTATTTATCAATTACTAACAAAAATGATTCCTGTTATATTTTTTGTTAATAATGTTTTTGGGGTAAGTTACCGACAGAAGGTAATGCCAGATGCGCTGAGCATATTTGTGCGCGGGAACAAGCAAAACCTTACGAACTTCCTACTGTTCCTTCTGTTACGACAGTTTGTGCAAATTTGGTAAAACTTCTCTTAAGTCCTTCTAAGATGGCCACACTGGCGCACGCACTTATGCGTTCGACACGCGTACGAGGATAAACTGCACCAGTTGCGTGCAGTTCACCAAGTCATTGTACTCTACGCATTAATCGTTATTACATATGCGCGTTGCATTGAGGTAGGTCGCTGATGCATGTCGGGGAGGCACTTTCAAGTAGGAAGCGTCTCTTTGTTAGAAAGGCGTTATAAGATGGAACGCCGATTTTTTTTTGGAAAGTGAATCTTTTGCAGCTCTCTGAAAGCGTGCACTTCATTTAATGATATTTCGCAACACGAGCGAAATTCAACGGAAATTGGAGCAGAGGCCGGATGGCGCATCGACAAATTCAATTTCGCACCAAGACGCGCGAGGCGAGTAACAAGGTGAGTATTTTTACGGAAAAGTAAAAACCGCTCGTTTGCAGTCTCGCGACGCGTGACTCACGGAGAACAAAAAGAATCATCGATCGCGTCATTTAACCGAAGTCTAAGCACCGCCTCGTTAATTTTACTTCGACCTTTCGCTCCGCGTTTTTGTCAAGTATCCGATCGTAAATCATATCGTGGTAATTTTTCTTTTCCGTTTTCGCAAATATTTTCGCGAAGTAGATTTTCTTTCGCATTTACCGCTCTACGAATTCTCCTCCTCCTTCTCCATTAGTGCACCTGACGAGAACATGCGCGCCAGATGGTACAACCAGCTCTGCAATAGTTGTTTCATGAGTCATTGGCCTTCTAACGCGCGATACTATCGTTTTCTTTTTTTTTTTTTTTTTGTTTTGCGGCGCCGATGCGCTAAGAAGTAACAAAAGATTCGATCCGACAAGACAACTGAAAGCGATAGGATGCAATTAAATCTCGCTCTCTCCCGCCGCGATGATAATCGCGACGATCGCATTTCAACGACAAGTTTCGATGGAGCTGTAAGTAGCTGTAGCCGTGACTCAGGCGCTGAAAACATCCACTTTCGCGGAGAGATGCTCTGAAGAGATGCTGTCTTTGTTAAAACTCTTCTCGCGAAAATCGCGCAAATTTCCGACAATATGTTAACAACGGGGCAATACGCTGTGGTGTGTGAATCCACGCAGGAGGCAGTGATGTAAGTGGGGGGGAAGAGCGTCTAGCCGCGCGGAGCGAAACTGTCTCGACGTTTGCTCCACGCCGCTCAGTGGTGTAACAACCTTCGAGAGAGCCATATCGCGCCGCTCTCACAGCTCTCGTACCGGTGATCCTCGTGAGAAACTGTATTTTATTAGTTTCAAAAAATCGATCGTCGCGTCTCGTCCCTCCTCCCCCCCCTTGTGCAAGTCATTTGAAAGTTTGACAGATGTGTGCGGCGCACCGTTCTCCAAGTTTTTTGTCAAATCACCAGGTCACGTTAGATTAGAACCACCTTGTTAAAGGTGCTCGGAGCACGCGTATCTTTCGAAGTTTTCCTCTTGTTTACATTTGAGAAATCTATTGCAAAAGTATTAAAAAAAAAAAAATTGTTACTTTCTCGTTGGGGGAGGAGAAAGGCGCTCGATCGATCGATGTATCGTCTCGACCGAATTGGGATCGACGGTTACACGCTCGCGGATGTTTGAATAAACAAACAGGAAATACAAGTTGAGCCCAACGTCGCTCGTGGTAGACGTCCACACAAGGGAATCATTATTGCACAAGCACGTTGTGCGGTTCGTGCACGTGCGATAAACGTTTTATCTGCCGTTTTATCAAAATCCTTTCCCGTGGCTACGCGGGACACGAGGATCGTCTTCGAGAAAATATATATTGTTGTTTGCGGGGGATCCACATACACGCACACACACACACACACAGGAAGTGAATGTTTACCGGCATAAAGGAGAAACGATGAGCTCGGTGACATTTCGTGCAAATGTCCCTTGTCGCGTTCGCTTGCTGAATAATTCAACTCTCGACTAATACCACGATTTATATCTCGCTTTGTTAGAAGGTAAATACTTTTTTGTATTCATTTTGGATTCCGCTTTTCTATGAGTTTGTCGGGAAACAGATGTTTGAATTGCAAAAATATAAAACGGGACGTTTGCGAGGAAGAGCGATTATTCGCAAATGCAATGAACTTTACGTATCACGTAATGTTTGATACAGACTTGACAATTTTGTAAACTCGATAATGAACTTGTATGTAGTATTCGATGCAAACTTGTGGTAAGAAATTGTTTCGTTTCGAAAGTTTATGAAGAGTTTATTCTTTCTGTCTCTCTCTTTGGATCTTAGGTGTGTTTTTTTTTTATATACCAATTCTTTCACATATAAATTGTGCTTTTAACGTTTATGCGGTTATCGCGGTAACCGCCAGGCCAACATTAAGAAGGAAATGTATATCTTTTCACAAAACTGATTTACTTTGTCGAGATATGTAGTTTCAGAAATAATAACTAATACAGACATAGTGCAGTATTGTTCAAGGGTGTAAGTTATTCAAAGGGTGAGAAATAAACATTGAATATATTATTGAAAATATATGAAATATAGTAACTCCTTGCGGACAGACATGGATCTCCCAGATCCATTCAAAAATTTCAAACTGGTGTCTCTAGTAGAAATTAGTTTTTTTTTTTTTTAAACGCTTTCATCCTCGAAACTACTAGAAACTTTTCCAATTTGTTTTTTTTTTTTTTTTTTTATCTCTCTCTCGACGCAGAATCGTTCAAAGAACCAAAATTGAAAAAATATTGATTTTTCGCGGAGATATTCGATATTTTAAAGTCGCGTGGATTTTACGGACTCGGAGTCTGTCCAACTAGGTCGCTGGAGTTCTCTCTATGAAAGATTGGAAATATTATATACTGTGAAACAAAAAACTACTTCCGTATGTATATGTGTCAATTAAATCACTTGAGATCTCTCAATGTCAAACAACGTAAGTGCAGGAAATGATTCACGATCTTGAAATTGTTCTCTCCCTCTCTCCCTTCGAATAGCGGAGCAACACGTTGCTCGATTATATATAATCTTCGCACGGTTGATTTGCGCGCGATTTATTATTTACGACGTGTCGTTTCGGTTTCTGTCAATTATTCGGAGGGTTTTGTGTGGAATTAATTTTCATGCGGAACAAAAGTAAATTCTCTCTATTCTCCACGTTGGCTCTTTAACACGCGACGGATAAGACGCGAAAAGATACGCCTCGTTCGCATAGAATTGCAAATTTGTTGCAGGTCTCTCTGCGTGACGTAGCGATAAGCGACTTTTTTTTCCGAGTTTTTCCCGCGCCTCCCGGAGAAATTTCGGACTTTAAATAAAAAAAACCTCGCGGTTTCTCGGTGAATTTATTTCAACGCGTGCGTGCGTGCGTGCGTGCGTTCATATCGCGCCGTTTCACTTTTTCAAAATATCAACATTTTTACGCTTTACGCCGATAGCGTGAAGAGATAGCGAGCGTTCGCGCGCGAAAAAAAAAGGCGAACGATTCTCACACTGAGAAGTAAGCGCGCAATTGTAGGTTTTCGCGAGAAGATCTTTTTTTTTTATCGCGCCGCGAAGGAAACCGCAAAACTCGGAACAAGCGGAGCAATTCGAAGACGAGGCCGCGCGCACTTCGTTCGCGGCACGTTCCTGTTCTGCTGAAACGATTAATATCACCGAGCAATAACGGAATAATCGGACGATTTGCTCGTTAAAGTTCCCGAGACTTGAACTTGGAAATCGCGCGCGTAATTGTAAATAGTTCGCCATCCATAAAATCAATGTACACTTACGACGACGTGTAACGCGAGCAATTGTCACGTTTGTCAAGTTTCTACGTGAAACATTTGTCGTTTTTGTGCAAACTTGTTCGTTATTTTGTAATCAAATCCATGTTGTTTGATCAAACATCAACGCAATATTCGAAGGTTGTTTAAAAATTGAGATTTAACGTGCCAATTAAATGTTTCAATTTTGCAAAATGCATTTACATATAAAGTCGTTCTCTCTCTCTCTCTCTCTCTCTCTCTCTCTCTCTCTTTCTTTCTCTCTCTCTCTCTCTCTTTCAATATTGTATTAACAGAATTACAGGATTTTTTTTACTACACGTGTTATTGAACGGAGGTCGAATGTGAATTATTTAATTACTCTATATTGAGTCTTTGCCGCTAATTAGAGCGTGGACCCACCTGTCGACAGTTAACAAGTAGGTCATTCGATCGTTCGCTAGGAACGCAAAGCGAGAGAGAGAGAGAGAGAGAGAGAGAGGGGAGCTTAAGCGCGGATTCATCAACTGCTGCCGGCGTGTTTCATCGATCGGACGGGTGTCATCGAAAATTCCACGCCGTTGTATGCGCGCCTGGGCGAAAATCGATTCTCCCCAAAGCGCGTCGCTTTTGCAGGCCCGCTAATTTTCCGTTGGGGGAATTGAATTCTTTCCGAGCGAGAAATATATACTCTATTTTTCACAAAAGAAATAGAAGAGACTTCGTTACATCGCGGCTCTCACAGAGATTTCAAAGAAAATTCTTGCATCGTGAAAGCACGCTTTGAAGTATACGTGAAATACGCAAATATTTGCCATAATCGGCAAAAGTGAAATGCAAAATAGTGTAAAACACTTTTTCAATTCCGAAAACACTCGAAAAGACTCAAATTTCGGAAGATTAACACGCGCTGACACGTGGTAATCGACAAACTCGTTAATCGCGAAAAATGCCGCGGCCCTCGTGAATATCGGAAAACGCTTTAAAATGTTGTTTGTTCGACGATATTTATATTTTCGCCAGATGGGGGAGAAAAAAAATTGAAAAAGCCAGAATCGCGTGATGTATCGCAAAAAACGTTCAACGCTCGAATACACAAATTGTTCGGCATTCAGATATTTTTTGACAGTTTGTACAAATATGTAAAAAAAACATAGTTTTCCGATGTACAGAGACATTAGCATTTTCAATTTGAATAAAATGGTGCGAAATTTCTCTTTTTTCTACATTGCGCGTGACAGCGATCGTCCATTCATACATTGTGTTCGAGAGATGTTTATAGTAAGATTTTATCTGCTCGACGGTCGCGAGATGAACCAACTATCAGTGTTGCGTCACACGCAAAATGTTGAGGATACTGAAACGGATATCGTGTCCCTGGAATCTCTCAAATGCATTGTATGTGTGTGCACGCGCATAAAAGTGGAACAACTCCGTGCGTGCGCCCGGAGCTTTAACGTTTGATAATGCCACATGCGGGCCATTTGCTCCAATTATCTGTCTGCTTTGTGTTGCAATTTTCGATTTTCTGGGTCATTCCTAGCGCGTCCGCGTGATGTTTATTCGCGCATTCGTGCGGCTTAAGACGTTCACGTCAAATTGAAAAAATGACAGAGTTCGGATTCTCGCTACAACAACTTGCACATTTAACTCTTTGACTGCAGAAAACAACCTACAAGAAGTGTAGACTGGGGTCTGTGAGGTCCACGCAAATTTAAGATCGAATATCTTCGCAAAAAATCAATATTTGTTCAATTTCTTTTTTTGAAGCGAAAGACGATTCTGCGTCGATAAAAAAAAAACAGATTGAAAAAATCTCCAGTAGTTTCAAAAAACATAAGCGTTTAAAAAAAACTCATTTTTTCTAGAAACGTCAATGTGCAATGTTTGATGCGCAATGTGGGTCTGAAAGACCTAGTCTACGGACAAAGCGTATTCTAAAAAGTTCACTACAACATTTATCTACTAAACGCGACTAAAAAAAAAAAAAAAAATTGATTGTGATTTATTTTTGATTAAAAAGAAATGCCGTGATATCATGTGTTTTGATTAATTCGCGATTCCGAACGCACGCGGTTTCCCTCCTTCTGTTTGATAACGATGACGTACGTGCTGAGCGCGCGATTTTTCGCTATTCATCGGTTTCGCTCTTGTCGCCGTTTCTTTTTTCTCTGCTTTCGTTTACAATCAAACATACGCCGATGCTCGTTGACGCATACACGCGTGTGTATTATACGCCCGGAGGGGAGTTTTACTTGGAAGTTTCCTGTCTTCGTCCGGGATATGACGATATCCCCCCTGCTTGGGCCAGTGGCGTAGGCATTCAGAAAAATCTCGCCCGCGGGGTTCGAGTCCTCGCAGTGACGCGACGTGTCGAGTTTTTGCGCGGAACAAAAAAAAAACCTATTTCTACTTAAAACAATTTCGTGTAAAAACCGAGGTTGTCCGACGTTGTCGCAGAATTTGCGCTCGCGCGCGGCACGACTGATTGTTATTACGTTATAAAATGTAAATGAGACGGAAAGTGGGAGAATTCTGCTGGTAATGTGGTCACGTAACACACTAGGCGGACACTATTATTAACTTTCCATACGCGCACACGCACACGCACACACACACACACACACACAATACGTATTCTTCTCGAGCGTTTAACTTCACGAACGTATTTCCTACGCTCCGTCGCACTCGCCGTAATTAATTAGCAGTCACTGCTACGCCATTCCCGTTCGCGTTTATTGTTTAGTTTCCGAGCGCCGTCCGTGGAGAAAGATGCGCCCGCTGTAATTGTTGTCGCGATGTTAACAGACGTGGGAGAGTTTCCCCACCTCGTTGGATGCAACATAAATCGCATTGCGTGTCAAACAATAAAAAAAAAAAAAAAAAAATAATACCAAAACAGGTCGAGCTTTGGTAAATCCGTTATTCGGAAAATGTTCGATAAATCTCGTAGAAACGGGGAAAGTCGCGAAAGCAGAGAGGGTAGAAAGAGATCTCTCGATAACCGGACCTGTGCGAGTAACCTTTTTCCTCCGTCCTCTTCTTCACTCGATCGTGTTTTTCCACATTTCAAACTTATCAGCGACATGAACGTAACGAGTTCTTCTTAAGTATATATCTTCGAGGAGATTCTTTTAGCGGTCTATTCCCGTAACGCAGCAGAAGGGTTTTTGAAATTACCGCCGAAAGTAGGTTACGACGACACATCTCTTGGGAGATTTTCTAATTGCTGTGAGCAGATCCGTAGAACTCGTGTAATTTATATTTCTTTTCACTAAGCTAAATTGAAGTGTGTTTCGATTCGAAACCATTTTCACAGACCTCTTTTTCCTGGAAAGTTATCACAGAGGTTACCTTCGTGTGCACACGTTTTCGTTCTTTATTTATTTATTTATTTTTTTTATCAAACCTATCGGAGTATCTCTCGTCTCTCCGGTCATCATCGTTGGGTCTTCGCTCATCACAACCGATAATTAGTCCGCTTCGTTGTTAAAGAGGGCAGGGTCACGTCACGTGAGAAGCTGGAAGATACACGCTTTAGTAGATCGTTCGCAAAGGAGCGCTTCAGCTTATATCGTACACGCTTATATCGTACACGCGTGTGCGTAATTTAACGAAGCGTCGTGTCCTCGTAGACGCACCAGACCAAGTGTCGCTTACGTGACATTTAAGCTGCGTGCACACTTATACCGTATTAAGCCTTCGCGCTTAATGCGTGCCGGCGTTCGGATACGGTTTTTCAGGGCCGCATCGCCTAATTCGGACGGCTCTTTCGATCGGAGAACAAAGTTTCGAGAGAAAAAGTTTTAATTGACAATTATTTAAATTGAAATATGTTGTTCTCTCTCTCTCTTTCTCTCTTTGTTCTTAAAATAGTAAAATTAATTACTACCGAGATTTTAATACTTGAGACGACAAAAGTGAAATATCGGGATGTGGTACATCGACTTTAAAGAAGAGGCTCGATTAGATTACTTGTTCTCGCGCGCACGTGTTTTATATTATATATCGTGAACACAACGTCACTAACGATATTTTTTTTTTTTTACGAAGCCAAGCCTGATGACATTTATATCGCGCACAGCGCCTTGATGGTCTCCAACATAAAAAACGTGACGTGGTTTCTCTCTCATATATAATATATATATATATACTTACACACACATACACACACATATATATATATATATATACTGTATGTGACAGAGAATTACTTTTTGTCAGGTTAGCACGTGTGATAAATATATGACGCGACTCGTGACAAGTGTGCAAAGCAGAAATAAAAGAAGTTCGAGTCCGTAATACAGAATTATTATTGCGTCGTAGATGCGCGAGAGATGATGTCAAGCAGCAGAAGGGTTGTGTACAACGTGCGATGGGGAGAGAGAGAGAGAGAGAGAGCCTCTCTCAATTGATTTGCTGGAATTGATGCACAAAAAGGCCTTTAATAGGCGACGATTATCCTCGCCCACAATTTCCGACGATTATCCAATCGCGATATTGAAAGAGGTGCAAAAATCTCGTCGCCGCAACGACATTTAAATCTCCCGTTACAATTGCGAACGCGCGCGTCGCACACAGCGCGAATTTTGTATTACGACTTCGCGCAACAACGAATTCGCGGTTCGCGTTTCGTAATTAATTAAAGGGAATTTTATCCGAGAGAAAAAAAGATTCTCATATACAAACGAATTTGATATCGCCAAATATCGAATTCGTTTATATCTTTTGTATCAAATATTCTGTATGCGGCGATGTATGATTAAATACGATCACGCACGAGATGGTATCAATTTCATACACGGAAAAAAATTCTTGCTGGAATAGCGAGAAGATTGATTACTGTGTGTAGCTACCAAGAAAAATTTGCGCGCTAAGTTGATTGAATATTTTGCAAAAATATTTTGTTGAGAACAAAAACTTCAACAGCAAATTTTTCTGACCGTAAAGTAGAACTTTTCTTTTCCGTGTTATGTGATTGTATGTATAATTATACACAACTAGATGCAGAATTTCCACATGTGAAGGATTTTGTTCTCGTGTGTTTATCTCAGTTTTTAAATACGTTTGCGCTAGTTTGTTTTGCTAACAAAACATTAACTTCGTTAAAACAAAACATTCCGTAGACTTGCAAATTTTTTTGTTGGTCATGTAAACTTTTTTTCCGTGATGCGATTACGTAACTGGATATAGGATTTGTCTGTGTGTAAAGAATTTTTTCCCGGGTGTTTATTCGGTTTTTTAAACACGTTACATTTTTTTTTGTTCTGCTAACACAAAACATTTTTTCGTAATGTAATTACACAACTAGATATAGAGTTTGATGTGTTCACATATAAAAAATGTTTTCGCCGAGTGTCTATCAAATTTTTTCAAATGTACACAAAACTTAATTTTTATCCGCATCTAGTTTTTTTTTTTTTTTTTTTTTTTTTTTTCAATAAAAAGATGCTTAATTTTTTTCTCTGTAAAACTCATTCGCGAGGAATTCCGACGCTGGAAGTGGGACTCGATCTTGAGGGAAGTCAAGTCGTCATCGAAGAGTGCCCACATTCTTTTGCGGATAGACTCTGTTGCGGGATTTCCGTGCGGTCTGAAAAATCGAAGTCGGCCACGTCAAAACGTCTGTTTACGCGACGACCGTTGACCCACAAAAGCATCGGTGCAACCTAGCGCGATGCCAAGCGACGCGAATGCTAATTTGATTAGCTTCCCCCCGAGTGGCTCTCGGTCTACCCCCGGAGCGACGTCGGTCGCCCTTACGTGACGTCGGCGTCACAACCCCGTTGGTCCGTAAAGAGTAATAGTAATAGTATCGATAGTAATAGTACATGCGACACGTGGTATCGACTCGATATATATATATATACACACGTACACCCATCTCTCGCACGTGTGCATCAATCTTATTACTGTCGCGGATAATAGCCTCGTAAGGAATATCAATTTCTCCGAACGGCGCGCGCCAATCGATCGCCAAGCGCGCTACTGAAATGATGAAAGTGCGTGAAACCGCGTTTGAAGTTTAAGTTAAGAGTCTCGGAGATTATATATTTCGCGCGCGATCTCATATATAAAATTTCAATCACCTTGATACAACGCGCGGAGCAAAATAGAATCTCTATAAATAAATACAACAATTTATCGCGCACTCGGGGAGTCTCCTAAAATATGTCCCGATATCGATATCGGAATTAACCCCACGGACTCTCGTAACTTTTCAAAGCACACAATTTTCTTTCCAACTTTATCTCTCTCTTTCAAATTTGTTATTGATTTCTTTGTCCGCGTATTTACCGCAGAGATTGACTTTTGCCCCATTGTCGTAATAAATTCTTTTCTCAGCCGCGCGCTTGTTTTCCTTGCTTTCTCGACCGAGCTTCTCAAAATTACACAAGAAGGGATTTCGACATCCATACGGCAATCCCTCCCATGTTCAGCGCCATCTCGGCGCTCTCGCTTGCAAAGCCAACCCCCATCGATTTTCCGCGCGCGCGAGCGTGCCGCCGTTTTACCAAATAAGGGAAGGACTCGCGCAACCCACCGTGAGCAACCCCCCTGCAATATGGCCGGCTGTCGAATGACAGTTGTTGCACCGGGCTGCCCGTTGACCCTGCGACGCACCGCCGTCCCGTTCCGACGTGCACCTGACGGCGTCATGTGTTCGCGCCGCCGGCCGCGATTACGCCGCGATTACGCCGCGACGATGTGCGCGTCGATTGTCACGCGTCTAACGCCGCTGAGAAACCTCGGCGAATCCTCGTAAAATCCTGGCACAGGACATTTTCTAACTCCGAGTTCCTACGACGGAGCCTGCCGCTCCGTCTCGTCACCGGTGGAGCAATCAGACATCGCAACGATCTCGCCCTATTTGTGATATTGTAAATATTATTTACAGAGATTTAATGTGTCCACCGTTTTTCTCGAGTCATCAATCGGTTTTGTGTTTATGTTTACATCAAATACGCGCATAATTATATCACATCATTTTTTTTTCTTTCTCTCTCTCTCTCTCCTCTCAAGAACACACATGTGACAAAAGTTAATTAAAATTGAACATGCACATAAAGTTCGATTTGCAGTGTTTTTGAATATCATCAATTACCGATTAACCCAAATTGCTTGCTGATGTAAATTAAAATGTGGTTTTGTAAAGATTACAATTGTACAGGACACTGAAATTTTATCTGAAAAATCAATAATCACGCGATAGGCCGTGGAACAACTTGGCCTTTAAAAAAAAAAAATTAATTACTTTAATCAATCAGCAACGAAACTCGCAACGCGTTTGAAGATTTCTCCGAGTTCTTTGAACTTCTCTTATTTGCGTGGGACTTGTTTTGGCGTCCGATAGTCGTTTTGGTCGCGGTTCGGATAGGTCGCGGATTTGTTGTCTCAAACGCGGTGCACACGAGAGAGCCCGCGGTCGCTCGGTCGCACGATAGATTGGAATATGCGCGCACACACAGACATTCTTATTGTGGATATTGGCGTAGGTGGATGAAAGATGAAGAAACGTTCGGGAAGACACACAGGTCACTCACACCGGCGTGTGCGTTTAATTAGAACGCGACGAGAACGACTGTGCGCCGCGTTTTCGCTTATCAAAAACACGTGCGCGCGTACGGCGCGACATGAAATTTAATTCGCACACGAGGGAACGATCGCGACAGATAGAAACGTGTGTTGCTTGTTTCCGCAGACCGCACGGATTCCAGAGGAAATGTCATACGCAAACATTTTCTTCGCACAGCGGTTTTGATAACGGCCGCTCTCGTATATCGCACATTGATATCGCTCGCGGTTGTTGATAAACGTGTTATCAAACACGTCACGGAATTCTGGACAACTTATTGTTGCGAGATATCTTTTGTGTAAAAATACATAAGCAGCGAACCACCGTGTTTCACAACGCTGACTTCTTTCAAATTAGTTAGAAAAACATTCACGCAATTCTTGTTTCTCAAAATCAATTTGATATTGTATTTTTTTGTTTCTCAATCTCTGTTGCGTACGTTACAAAAATGTCACTTTGGTGTAATTTTCTTCGCGTTTTCACACGAATTATTAATATAAAATATATCAAACCTCAGCAACGTACGATACAATTCTTTTTTCGAGCGCGGGTTAGCTCGGTCGAAGATGACGAGCGCGAAATGCGGTTTTGGTCCAAAAATAACGCGCGGCCCGCGTTCGTTCGCCGCGGTACGGAATCTCGGAGCGTTCGTTTGCAATTTTAGAAACCGATCGTTCTCTCGGTTTGCGCGTACAAGTGACAAGTGCGAGCTCGGTTCTCTCTCGGACGTGGTGCCTGGACTCCACCGAGTTCATCACGCGCGGCGTAAAAACTCGATCGTTCCCACGTGAGTCACCGTTGGATCTTCATCATCAACGCGATCAAATGGAACCCTTTCGCGAACGTTTCAGGTGAGGTCAGCGGGGTCGTCTCGTTCGCTGAAAATTGATCAGCGTATATTCTCTCTCACGTCTCTTCTTCGCAAGAGTTCGCGGAATTCATTTGTAACCGCTCGGTATCGAGAAATACATACGCACTAACTCCGCACCGCTCTTATGCGTGCGTGCGTGCGTGCGTGCGTGCTGAAATTAAATGATTCGGAGTGAATATAAAGGGGCTTAAACTCTCGCTCAGAAATTTCAATTTCGCTCTGGTCTCGGACCAGATGAGTCGCACAAGTTATCGCACTCGTCACATTTGAAACTCCCAACTCCGTGTGTAATAAAACGTTTCTTTCATATTCTCTGTTTACATTAAAATGTCGGACAAACTCTCGCGTTTGTTTTCCAAACACATTTGCCAGATGTGTTACACCGCGTGAGATCTCTACGATGTATTTCTTTTTTTTTTTTTTTTTGGTCGGAAAAATATCTGAGCGCAAATTGTGTTTTGATACGCGCGGCATCGCGCGACAATAATTTCGAGTTGATTTTTCGAATATCTAGCGCGCGTCACTCAAACAAATAAAATCGAATTGTGCTTTGCAGATGCCTTTTTTATAAAGTGACTCTCGTCGAAAGAAGCTGTACACTTACGATGGGCAAGCTTTTGAGTCTTCTGGCTCGAGACGAGTCTACCTGTTGCACACCTCAAAAGTACGACGTGTTTCTGGATTTTGAGAGTAAGTAGCGCGTTTTTTAAACCTGAACTGTATGCGCGATAAAAAAAAAAAAGTACGTAAATTTTTTGATTCTATTTTGTATCTTTTTCTTTTAGACGCGCAACCATCGGACATCGAGCGCGAGACGTTCGAGGCGGTCCAGAGAGTGCTGAAAAATTCAGAATCAATTCTGGAAGAGATACAGTGCTACAAAGGGGCCGGAAAAGAAATCAGAGAGGCAATATCGGCACCCACGGAGGAATGTCAACGAAAAGCTTATCTGACTGTGGCGCCCCTTGTCGCAAAACTCAAACGATTTTACGAGTTTTCCTTGGAACTCGGTACACGCTTCATTTATCACATTAACGATAACAATTTTCTATAAATAACGACGATATGACGCCGCGCGCCTCTTGAGAAACTCGATATATCGGGTGAATATTGGGAAAAACTTCTATCTCTGCACGCTGTCGTATCTGACCGTGTGCTTGCGGCGCGGACCTTCGGTTTATATTAAATAACGGTGGTTACGTCGTGGAAAAACAAAATAACATTTGCGCGCATTTCAATCTGAAACGTTCTCGTTATTTGTGTTACTTGACTCAAAATTTATTTGTACTGACCTCGTCGTATTGTCTCTTTTCTATATTTTGCACATACCACACGTTGTTTGACTGGCAATTTCATTGTCCGCTCGTTTTTTTTTTTTTTGTGCAGAGAGAGTCGTGCCGAAAATTTTGGGACAACTGTGCTCGGGAAACCTATCGCCAACACAACATCTGGAAACCCAGCAAGCTCTGGTTAAACAACTTGCTGAGATACTGGAGTTTGTGTTGAAGTTTGACGAGCACAAAATGAAAACGCCGGCAATACAGAACGACTTCAGCTACTACAGAAGAACGTTGACGAGGGCGTCTCTGGCGCACCAGGACAACGCCGAGAAGGATCTGATCGTCGGCAACGAACTCGCCAACCGAATGTCCTTGTTCTATGCCCACGCGACACCCATGCTTCGAGTTCTGAGTCACGCGACCATTACTTTCTTGATGGACGTAAGTGGCATCACCTCCGCTATATACATTGTTCTCGTCCGCGCGACCTCCCCATTGTTGCCCAGACAATTATCGATCCGGCCAGCTGATGGCAATTAGATGAAATTCTGCGGTAATCCAGACTTTTCCCCGCGCGTTCTCTCAATCATTCCGACGTGATGCAGTGTTTCGTTTAGAAAATAAAAAACCAAGTCTTTCGCGCGCCAAAATGTATGACAAGACAACGCCATAAAATTTTTCTTTTATTTCAGTTAAACTTTTGTACTTTAAACAATTTTATCGAATACGATTTTATCGGATAAATTCAGTTCTCGTTGCGTCACATCATTGGCTTTTGATCGCAATGACAAATAACCGCGTTACGTGATCGACATGTAGTGTGTGTGTATGTGTAATAATCCCGGACAGAACGGACGGGAAAAAAATTCGCGATGAGAATAATGGATCTGTTGAAGCAGAAAATTGACAGATATCCTGTTCTGCGATTTAAATTACCTCCCTCTGGTTCTCTTTTTTTTCTCTCTCTCTCTTCTCTCCACTAGAGAGAGAACTACAACAACATCGATCAAACAACAAGTAAACGCGGCGAAGAGCATGATGCATATGCGAGCTATATATTAATTAAAATCGATAACAGAGAAACAATAGAATATTGAAATAGCATTCTCTCGATTTTACATGCAATTAAAATATGTATTTTGCGATACAACCGAGATGTTAGAATGATTGTATTCAAAAGCGAGCTCTGCGACATTGAATTTCCGATGTGCTAAAAAAAAGTAAGAATAAGACAATAAATCGTAAATTATGTATACGGCTCGCGCCGGTTTTACTAAAGTATTTCATCGTGTGCGTGTGTGTGTGTATGTGTGTGTGTGTGTGTGTGTGTAATAATTGTTTATTTTTCTTGTTTTTAGAACGAAGACATAGCCAGGGAAAATATTACAGAAACACTCGGTACAATGGCAAAAGTGTGTCTTCGAATGTTGGAAAATCCGTGAGTATTACACTGAGTGATCGGGGAATGCGCGCGAGAAGAATTTCATCTCAAGTGAGAGAAGGAGAATTTCTTCAAAGCTAATTTGGGATATATGTCTTTTTCCAGGAATCTGTTGGCGCAATTCCAACGAGAGGAGACTCAGCTCTTTGTTTTAAGGGTTATGGTAGGTCTGGTGATCCTCTATGATCATGTACACCCCCAAGGTGCCTTTGTAAAGGGTTCGAATGTGGATGTGAGTATAATAAACAAAATTGTTAATAAATTGTTTTTATACGACAGCTGAATGTTTTGAGCTGAAACGACGATTGAGTTGGAAAGAATTTTTTTTATCAAAGCACGCAATATCTTAATGATGTAATATTATCAACTGCAAACTTAAACGCTCTTTTTAAAGGACAGGTCTGCTTTCTCAGGTCGAAGATAATATTTGAAAATCTTTTCCTAAGCAAATAGAAAAGAGACAGAAACATGGAATTTGAAGTATTGTATTTAACTTTTTTCTTTTTTAGAGATGTTTCACTTTTCCACAGACAATGCCACAAGTTAAAAAAAAGCAGTCCGTCAAAACACATGCAACAAAACGACGAACACGATGACGATCAAACAGATTAGTCTAAAGCAAAATGTGGGAAAAGATTTTTTAACAAATTAATTAGAGAATGAATTACAGTTTGGTTAAAACAGTGAATAATTGACAGACAGGCGGCATTTCAAAGTGAGACGTTGCGTTTTTGCAAAACTTTTTACATCTTTTGCCACTTGAGTCAAAATCTTAATTGCTTAAGATTTACACATATTAGAAGTTCATCTTCTAATAAAAAGTGTCTAATTTTTAAAAATCAAAAATCCAAATTGATCGGACGAACGTCTCGAACGCTATCGTGTTCGCCAATTTGAAAAATATAACTTTGAGACGAACATGTTTAAAGTTTACTTAAACATGTTTAACATGTTTAAGTTATATATTGTCGCGGCAAACCTGGGCTGCATGTAAAAGAAGCTGTAATTACCGTATTTTTACGAATTTTGAGAAATCAGAGGCATATTTCAAAGAATTATTCAAAATAAAAATAGATGTTTGGAGAAAATAAAATTGGTTTTTCTGATCTGAGAAAGAAGATTTTCCTCTTAATTATTATGATCCTTTCATTCATCTCATAATTACATAATATGTTGTAATTTAACAGGTCAAGGGTTGTGTGAAGTTGTTGAAGGATCAGCCGCCTTGTAAAAGCGAAGGACTTCTGAATGCCCTTCGTTACACAACAAAGCACTTAAACGAAGAAAACACCCCGAAAAATATAAAGAATCTGCTCGCCGCATGATTACCAAAGCAAACTGGCTGTTGTATAAGAAGCTAAACATTGCATTGCTAAGTCAAAGATCGTTCAAAAAAACGATCCACAATGCAACCTTCCCTTAGAAAGGTTCAATGACATTTAAACTTCACTTCGGCTTCTAGTAGAGGTCCAGCATCCCTACCGTCTTGTTTATTTCAGTTAGGAAATAGAAGGTTCCGTTTCTCAAACGTTTTTCAAACGAAATGTCCTTTTGGTCCTATTGATCCCCATCATTCGTTTTTAATGTGACCACATCAAAATACATATGTTATACTATACACATAAGAGAAGCTCACATATAAACTCTATAACAAAGGTTGAAAAAAAGTTGTTCAAGTTATTCGGATACTAAAGTTTCGAATAAACGAGATTCCATATATCACAAAAGTTAACTACTAGTTTTACACACCTTTTCAACAGATTTTTTTCAACTCTATTTAGAACCGAAAATGTATGGCATCATTCCCCATGACGATACCATGCTGTTCGACAACTGTCCGAGAATCATAAAGTCTTCGAAAATGAATTATTTACTGAAGCGGTAACGTAATAACAATCGAGTTGACGAAAACATTCAGTCGTTGCGTGTTTATTTCGCAAGTTTCCTATGTTATTTTGAAAATACATGTGAGCGATTATTACTGTCATTGCATTGATATCATCGTAAACGAGATGTTGTCTTGTCGCGGAACGAATCTGTTGTGTATATCCATCAAGTGGTTTTATTTGTAAGTTTGAAATTAATGTTTTAGTTGCGCGGAACACATTTAAACAATGGAATTTTTACAGCAGTGCGACTTTTTTTAATGCGATATTTTAATCAAAGTCGTCGTTTTATCATGATTTGCATCCGAATATAGAATAAGAAGTTAGAGCATATCATAGTGTATTTATAGAATAACATGGAAAATGTGAACTTTCTTGAAGGTGTTACACAAAGAGAGAGAAAAAGAGAGAGAGAGAGAGAGTTTTAATCACGTTACAGATGGAGAGATCTTTAGCTCTTGTTTTCTTTGTTGAATGGAGGGCGAGAGGGTGGATTGCGAGACTGCGAGGTTTTGTAAGGTCGAATTACTGCCAGATCACCGATGATCAACAATCTCATTTTATCGACACGTTCACATTTTTATCTCCGCATTTCTTTATTATTGTGTGATCTGGATTTAATTAACATCTGAACACACTCCTTTTATACAATCTTTTTCTTCTAAATGTTTAAAGAGAACCAAAGATGTGCTTTTTTAGCGTATTTAAATAAGTTAAAAAATCAGAGATGTGATTTTACCACTACTGTGTATCATTATTATTATTATTATTATTATTATTATTATTATTATTATTATTCTCATTATTATATAACGTTATATAGGAATGTTCTCTATTTATAGTGACAAGCCAAGTTCGCACACGCCGCGATACATGTTAAGCAATGTCGTTCACATATTAATCTTCCAAATATTATACGTATGCAAAATATACTTGTCGTCGCGCAATAATTGTTTTGTATTTTACTTTTCCGATATTTTTCAAATTTATATTTTTTACGTGAATTTCAAGGATTCTGTAAAACTCATATAGTTTCAGATTTTGAAAAAATCACCGACGGATATTGTCATAGAAACAAATTGTTTGAAGAAAAAACAATTTATAACAAACATGTAGGATTTTTTAAAAATATATATACATGTCAAGGAATCAGGAAAAACTTCCTCAGGAGTTTTCGAACTGACCGTAGCACAAAACATCTTCTTGTACGTTTTTTTTAGAGATTAAAAAAAACAAAAACTACTTTGAAGACTGCTTGGCGATTTTGATGAATACCGTGGAGAATCCTGCTGTGTGTGTGTGTGTGTGTGTGTGTGTGTGTACATATTACTTACATCTGACTAAAGTGATCACACTTTACACGTAGAATTTTAACGTGAAACGTTCGTTACTAGCGAACTCTACAAATATATTCGTGACTCTGTATATATAGATTGTTACTATGTATTATTGACACTTGCAGATATTACTGTTACATTGGCACTCTCCATTGACAAGTGCCCTGAATTTTACTGCCTTGATAATTTTTAAGAAAAAAACTATTAAATTAAACAGTATTCAGTTATTTTCACGAACCAATTTTATTGTATTGATTTATTTCTTAACATTCAATGTCAATTAACACGAGAATATTGTCGCACATATTATATACGTATATGATTGTACTTGAATTAAATTAAAGTCTCTTAAAAGTATGTGTACACGGTATTTATATTTCGTTCTTTATATAAAATAAATATATATTACTTACATAATTAATTAAGTACTAAATGAAAAAAATAAAAAAGTAAATAAAGCACTAAATGTGTGTGTGTGTGAGAAAAAAACAGTTTTAACCATTTCAATTTTTTTCATTTTTAAACAATTATGACTTAAGGCTCGTTAAAATTAATAACAAGAAATATATAAGGCCTTACGAGCCATTCCCAGGATGTTGAGCGGAAACTGTACGTGTATATATATATATACACATGTAACAAATTCAACTTGTAAATTTTGTTGTATATATATATATATATATATACACGTACAGTTTCCGCTCAACATCCTGGGAATGGCTCGTAAGGCCTTATATATTTCTTGTTATTAATTTTAACGAGCCTTAAGTCATAATTGTTTAAAAATGAAAAAAATTGAAATGGTTAAAAAATTGAAATGGTTTCTTGTTATTATTTTTTTCATTTTGTTATATAAATTTGAACTTCCCGGATCCCTTATTATATGTACTTTACTCGTAGAAAAGAATTTCGAGCCATACAGCCAAAAAAAAAAAAAAAATTATGAATGTGCCCAAAAAATTCAATTTTATCGATAAAAACAGACTTAACACATTGCGTACGGGTCACGAGATATCTCGTTTTCATGTTTTATTTCGATTCAATCGGCAACGTAAGCAACCAGTGACAAATATTTTTGTTACGTTACCAGGGTAACAAAGCCTCTCCCATTCTTAAGACAAATGATGAGCGAAATAATATTAATATTAATATTAATAATATTGCTCGCCAAGCATGCTTCTTCTACAGCATTCGGAAATGTGCGGGTTTTGAACGCGGTTTGAGCGCGCAGAGCGCCGTACGCAATGTGTTAAGATTGCAGTAGTGGAGACCAGAACCCGGCTTGGGCTGGTAGAGCCCAACGAAGGTGCAGACATATTATGTTGATGTATGACGGCGGTTCCCGCTTGTGTGCGTATCCCCATCACGTTGGTGTTCTAATAGCACGAAATAGAACCCTGTCTACAGAATATAGCACGGAATAGAACTATGTCTACGAAAAGTGATTACACATTCTGTTATGACCGCTCTCATTCTTTTCTCTGCTAGTGGAGCCATAGGAGAGAGGAAATATATAAATTATAAGAAAATTAAATTTATTAACATTATGTATTAAATTTTGGAAAATGACCGCACGCGGTCATTTGTAAATGCTATTGTTCAAAACTTGTCGGCATAAAAAAATATAACAGATAATTCTTTATCATTTGTCAATAATGTAATTTGCTATGTACGTAACTTATCCTCAGTGTGTCACAGACCGACAGGAAGTACATCATTTTTATATGAGAACTATTTCATATCAACAGTTGATTCAATATTATTAATATAGTGCTAAAAACATCGCAAACTGTAGCATTATCAAAAGGTATAACTTGTGTGCGTAAGCAAAATTATAGACTGAGCAGAGGAATCTTGATCCTTATAGAAGATGGCGTGTTAGAATTGTGAAGCCCGCCATTACGTGACGCCACGATGGTTATTAAGGCGCAATTCTTTAAATATTGATTGAAAGTGGGCTGAAGTTGGTGGGTGATGTTCGAGAAAGAGAGAGAGAGAGAAACTGGAGGGATGGCGAGGAGAAGGTGAAGGCTGCTCGAACTGGCGAGATGAGATGAGAAGGTTGACCGAGAAGGGAGACTATCTATTATATATGATGGGCGCGGTCGCTTTTTATGGATTTTTTTCTCTATTATAAATGCATTCAAAAAAATTTCCTTCTCTCTTTCAATCTTAATGAAAAATTAAGTGAAACAAAACTGGATTGATTTAAAGAAAAGCAAATTGTCAACATAAATAATTAGCATGCATTTGTAAGACGATCAATAAATTAAATATTTCCGCGTGGCTGTTATACGACGTAGCACACGCGTTATTTTATAAAATTTCTAACTTTTCTATTTTTAATTGAACTACATGATGTAATCTTTTAAATAAATTATTCAGTTTAAACTTTACGTCGCTTTTGAACATCTATCGGCAAATAAATTAATAATATCGAACAACCTATTCGATTATCTCTTTCTTTTTCTCACACGCTTTATGTTATTTAATTATATGTTTTGTATAATTCGCGAGTTAGCTAAATTAATTAATAATTGTTATTCTTTCCATCGTGTCCGGGGGCAGCCATGTTTTTTAAAGGCGTCCGAGAATGTCGCCCAGCTTTTGTTTTGCCTTTAGCGCGACCGCCACCGCCATCAGCACCACCCTTGTAAGTTTCCCGTCCGTTCATCCCCTGTGCCACGCACAACCCGCTTCAACGACCCTTTTTTTTTTTGGGCTAGATGCCGTGGAGTGAGAAAGATGAACAGAGGGATCCCTATGGATTTTTTTTCCGTACCGCGAGAGTCGCCGCACCCCTCCGCTCGCGATGTTCCGAAGGCTGCAACAACGCCTGGCGGCTGTTCTAAAAAAAAAAAAACTTCAGCCTCCAATTTGTGAGGTTGGCGGTCTGTTTAATTGCGATATCCAATTCCTTCTCGCGATCCGTCTTTTTTTTCATCCTTTTCGCACTGTCTTCTTCTCTCTCTCTCTCTCTCTCTCTCTCTCTCTCTCTCTCTCTCTNTCTCTCTCTCTCTCTCTCTCTCTCTCTCTCTCTCTCTCTCTCTTTCTCGCTCGCTCGTGGTTTTCGAGGCGTCGAGATGCTTCATAAGGGCTGCTCGCTCGTTAATCTTCCAAGACGGTTTTTTTTTCAAGACGCTACATCGTCTTTTGCTCGGGAATAATAATGATACTAATCCGCGCGACACACTTTGTACATTAATTCCTCGCACGAAATGTTCCTCTCAAGTTGGCCACTTGAAAGTCCCGGCGACACGATTTTGTTTTTTTTTTTTTTTTTTTAATGGCGATAATTCGAAGAGAAAAAAGACGACGCGACGGTCTTGAAAAATGAATATTAACGATTGAACAGTCACGATCTTGGCAACGCCAAAAATCCTCCGTGAATATGAAAGAAAAAATATTCTCTCTCTTCTCCGATTATTTTCCAACAAGCTTTCTGTAACGGGATGTAATTGCGTCGATACGTAAAAAAAACCCCTACTCAGCGGGTGAGCATAATGCCAAAGTTTACAGTTCCGGCAAAGCACCCCTCTCGCGATTAAATCGCGTGACACCCCTTTCTGCCCGCTATGCGGGGACATTATGCAGCCTTCCCCGGTGCGCGGTCGGTCTAATTGTGATATCGGTTTTTTTCGCTCGGCTTTTTTTTATCTGTTTTTTTTTTCCAGCTCATCATCGCGTTCGCTCTCGTTCTTCGCGCGCGCGGTTTTTTGTTCGTTATTTTCCCGCCACCCGGTAATTATGTGGGCGCGGCGGACCAAACAAGGGAAGAGGCCGACGCGGCGAGGAAAAAAAGTCGCTTTGCATATTTAAATCCCGCTAGTGAGGCCAACGAGGAAAAACAGCAAGCGAAGAGTGAGAGCAAGATGGGGCGAAAAGGGGTGCGTTACGAAGCCAAGCTTTACCCCTGCAACCACGGAAGCGAGATGGAGAACAGAGTGAAGGGCGCGTGCGCCACGACAATGGGCCGTGTTTGCACACCCGAAAATTGGCCGACGCAGAAAAAGTGGCGACTGTCTCAGCATGAGACAAAAACTGTTGAGAAAAAAAAACAGTCAAAGGGAAATCGACTAATCGGAGGACACACGCTAACCATCTTCGTCACGCCGGCGCTTCGTATTCGAAAGGGTAATTCGCTTTTGAATGAGGAACAATTACGAGACGATATGTTACGCAGGTATTACGTACAGGGAGACTTTGACGACGAAAATATGTGAAATATGTTTTAAAATTTCTTTCAGTTTTTTTCGCAATATTAAAGTAACGTTAATTTATTGTCATCTACTTAGTTCGCTCTCTCATCGAACCGCGAAATCAATTTCTCAAATCGCGGGCAATTTTTCCCAGATGTTGCCGAGACTACACAATGCATCGTGCGCATCGACGTGTTACAAGACACGTGGAACGTAGGCCGGCATCGATCGCGGGGATTAGCCGAATCCAATTTTCCGCGGGCGATAAATTAGAATTTATGAAATGAGCGTGAAAGGCAGCGCGCAAGTTCTTCGAGGGTGAGTCCTCGCGAGGGAAGTCCAGTCTCTCTCTCTCTCTCTCTCTTTCTCTGCGAGCACCTTTCCCGCAAACCTCCCCCTTCTCAACCGGAACTAATAGTTTTTCCTCTGTGTTTTTTTCTTCATACGATGCCCTATGATGCCCGACGCAGAATCGCATCGTTCTGGTCGTCAGCAATATTCGTGCTGACACTCTTGGTAAAACTCATCAGTAGATCCATCGGATGTGTAAGATAATTTTATCTTCAGTATATATAATTTTGTGTGCGACACGTAGCACGCAAATGTGATATATTTTGCAAAATAGATATTTAGGCGAGTAGCAATGTGTAAAGAATAACTTTTGTAAAAAACTATGGTACCAAAAATTGGTAACAAAACTGTTCGCATCGAGTTTTTTTTAGATAACATCAAAGTTTTAGTTTTTTAAATCTTTCTCCTTCAAACCTACTATATTCTGTATTGTATTCTACTAAGTCTACCGATTTTACTCTCATTATGAGGGTAGCACATTCACGCTGAGAACACACTCCATTTCGGCACGCGGAGAACTAGTCGATCCATTCGATAGACATCGAGGACCGACAGATGTTTCCCATTTTTTTCATACTCCCTCTCCTCTCTCTCTCTCTCTCGTCGGAACACCGTTATTTTCGCAAAAAAGTACCCCGAAACCGATCGGCCGCTTCCGCACACACGTGATCCTGTCCCGTTTCGTGAACGGATGTTTCGTTCGACCGATCGTTTTCGAGGGGTTCGGAAAACGCATCGTCGAACAGTTCGTAAGCATCGATCCCGCATCGCTTATCGTCTCGCTTTTCAGTTAGTTCAGTTCGATATAACAAGTCCGTTGCACTCCATGCGAATATTCATCTGTACGTTGTGCGTATAAATGAATATTCCTACAATATTTTTTATTTATTCCGAATGCAGAAAAATAAAAAAAATAAGTGTAGAGAAATAAAATAAATAAATAAAGTTATAGGACAAAATAAATATTTAATACAAATTAATATTATACAAAAAAGTTGATGTATTTTTTTAGAATTTTTGTTTTATTTTTTTTTAATTTTCTAGTACAATATTATTTTATCGCGGTGTTGTTACATTTGTTACTAAATGTGTAACAAACGTAAAAAGAAATTTATGAAAAGAATTTTTTTTATCCTTCAGCCGCGCTACTTTTATTTTTAATATTACGCATAAAGGTACACATAAGGGCATGTATAACTTAAGTGGCTATTATTTTTTTTTTTTTTTTCATGAAGATTATACGACGGTTGGTCATTTCGCGGGGTGGTGTGGCCGTGTAATCCCATCGTGATACACAAGGATTCAGGACTTTTCCCGGAGAAAAAATCCTGAAAACCCCGTAATCCAGGATAGACAGGAATAACGAGTGTTTGATTACGGGCACTATGGGGCTTCGAAACCACCACCCAGCGGCTGGTAATGTCCGAGGCTAAGGGAATTACGCAACGTGAGAATAAAAAAAAACTGAGACACACGCTCCGTGGGATGGCGTTTTTGTGCTTCTGCTCTTTGGGGAGACGTCTGGAAAGCGAAACGTTAAGTTGTCATTTCGTGACTTATTACTTCAAAATTAATTAACTTTTTTAATGAGCGGTAAGTGAGTCAATAATATAAAAAAACTGAATCAATTTTATCATTGATTAATTTTTTGTACAATTGACTGATTTATGTTTCACTACGTATTTGATAAATATATATTTTATTTTTCTTTATTTTAAATACAGAAATTGTCGCAAATTTAACAAAACAAATTTTCTTTTTCTCGATAATTTTGCGAAATATTCTCATGCAACTACAAAATACTGGAAAGTAACACCCATTGCAATGGAAATCTTTTCATTTCGAAACAGTTTTTGTAAAAAAAAACTACAGGCTATTCCTTCCGAATAATGATATATTACAAATTTCATGAATGTTCTACGTGTGAACGCTTCGCGATCATTTTCTCTGCCCCTCGCCACCGGTATGGGTAGGTGAGTGACCCCCTTCGGGTTTTATACAAGGGTTTTTCTGAGGGGGAGACTCTTTTTTTTTATACTGAGGGGGCACCCGTGCCTGGGGTGGAGTTCTTTTTTTTTATAGACCCAGCATCTGTACCCTCGTGGCTAGGAGAGAAAAATTTTTCAGTCACTCACCTGGCCTACTTCGGGACGGTCTCCGGAAAAATTTCTCGTCTCCTCGTTTTAACATCGCGAGTCCTGAAACAAATCTGTGAATTTTTTAATCGTGTATTTTTTCTGACAGTTGTCAGCATTTGTGTGATAAAAATGGTGCGCAAAACTAAGCTCGCGATAAAAATACGCTGCGGAAAACGTATCCGCGATTCAGACGGACGATTGAAAAGGTCTTGATGTACGACGGAAAGGACAAAGGTATGAAAAGTTCGAGGCACAAGAGACACGGGTCCGGTACGCTTTTTTATTCTTCAACCTTAGTGGCATTCCATTAAAAAGAAAACGCTTTCTCTTCCACACACACACACACACTCTCTTCTCTCTCGCTCTTTATGCTCCCTCGAGATTAAAACATTCGCGAACGACTCGTGAACTCGTTTGTCGTTTATGCGCGCCTCCGACTACTCTCCGCTCTACGTCGGCGCCGACAAACGATCCTTTTCTCTCCTCGTTTCTCGCGACGAGAGTCACATAACGAAGCGCCGAGCATCGTGCAGCTAATTTTCCGCAATTTCTCAAAAAAGGAACGCCGGCGGGACCTCTCCCACGATGTCACCTTTTAAAACTCATCCCCCGGTCTCGCCGGAGTGCGAGAAGCGCGCCAGAGAGCAGCGATGAAAAAGAGAGCGAAAGAGAGAGAGAGAGAGAGAGAGAGAGAGAAAGAAAGAGGAAGTGAGATAAAACAGAGAAGAGAGAAGGCGAAAGAAGAGAAAAATAATCTCTTATATACGACGCCCACGGTGTAATGGAGGGTATTTCGCGCTGCAAAACACCCGATCCACCCCCTCGTGCCTCGTCTCCCAACCTACCCATCCTCTTGCCTTTAGTAATCCCCGCCGCGCCTGAAAATAATATCTATCTCTCGCCGAGAAAAAGAAGGAGAAAAGACAGAGGAAACGTGCTAAGAAAAGAGAGACAGACAGTCTCTGCTGATAAATCCGCGTTGTGCCATCTAAAAGGAAACGTAATTTTTCAGAAGGCCTCGCCTCGAAACTAAAAAAAAAATGGAAACCGTTTCACAACAATTAACATCGACGTTAACATCGGCGCAGTTTATTAATTTGTTGTATTTTCCGATAATACGCGAGAGATTACGTGATCTAAAAAACGCTCCTCGTGAGGCGCGATTTTATTCGATACGAATAACCGCACGTGGATTTTATCGATCGGCTTACATCGAATGGAACAAACGCGCTCGTCGTTTTATACATATATATATATATATATATATAAAAGACGAAATAGAATCTCTCGCGACGGAATAATAAATTCGAAGGCGGCGGAACAAAAAACAGGAATAATAGGCGCGAGAATCGTGGCGGTAAATCAAGAGCGGAGTCGCACAACGATAAATAAAGGTAAATGACGGTGGTGATTCATAATTAAGGAGCCGAGGACCGGACAAGGCAACCGCGACTGTCCGCTGGTGAAAAAAAAAAGAAGAGCTAGCATGTGTTGAAGAAATTGCGATGGAGAGAGGAAGAGAGACCGATCCCTTTTGCGCGCCAAAAAGCAATACGTCGCGATGTCTTTTATTTTTCAATGCCGCGCACCAGAGTCGAGTTTGATCGCGCAATTACGAAATTTTTAATAAACGTTTTTAACGCGGAATCCGCGCACACGAGAGAAAGTTTCGCGTGTCTGCACAAACTGTAACACGCGGGCATCGTCCGCCCGTCAGAAAAAAAAAAAAAAAAAAACATTTCTGACATGTTCCGTCAGACTTTTCTAAAGGACTCGCGCGCCGCCGTATCCGCGGGCACGCAAAGTTATATTGGCGAACGATAACAAACCATATCGTGTCCAAAGAAACGTTTTACAAACGAGAAATCGCTGCGAGCTCTCTCGCTTTCCTTCCCTCTCTCCTCCCCGTTTCTTCTTTCCCGACCACGGGCAGAGCTTTCCTCCAAGTGTACTCGAGATATACTCGCGTCTGGAAATCGAGTCCCGGAGCAGCAATTATCCCGAGAAGCTCCGTCGATTTTGCATCCGCATGAGGGAATACCTGGATCGGTGGAAGGAGTACAAGGTGAGGAGGAGGAGAGAGAGAGAAAGAGAGCGCGCGCGAAAGAGAGGGTAGAGAGAGAGAGAGGAGACGAGAGAAGCAGAACGAGAAAGAAAACGGCGAAAGAGAAGGGCGCGGATCCTTGGAGAAGGATGCACTTTGCAGTAGCGGCGGAGTATAAGCGGGCTCCATTTTGTCCTAGGGGGGTCCTTAGGCGCCCCCTTCCCTTGGTCTCTCTCTCTCTCTCTCTCTCTTTCTCTCTCTCTGCCTGCTCACCAACACGCTCTCGATGCACACACTCATTAGAAGCGTACACGCATGCACACACGAGCGTGCACGCGCGCGCGCGCGCGCTTCTCTCGCTCTCCTCCCTCTCATGTGGGGTATCACCTTCTCTTTTCATCTCTCGTTTCTTTTTCCGCCCGCTCTGTCTCTACGTGTGGACCTCGAGGGTTCGTCGGAAGGGATGCTGCACGCTGCGCGTGCGCAACTCGTAAGATATTGATAAAAATAAGGTCCACCCCCACCTACACCCCTTCCCCCCCGACGAGCCAGCCCCATCGTAGGGAACTAAGGAGATATTCTGACGTCGGAAAGAGAGAGAGAGAGAAAGAGAGAGCTACCCCTCTGTATTCTCTTTTTTCTCTCCGACTGTCCCCTACTCGTGTCCCTCTCTTTTTCTTTCTCTTTCTCTCGACCGAGTCTTATATTACGACATTAACATAATTATTAATATTTTCGTGGGTCTCGTTCTGTTTCCTCCACAGTTTCCTTTGTCGTTGAGTGACGCAGCATCCGCCATTATGACAGTCACAATGCCCTGACGTTCGTGTAACTTTGCGGAATTAGATCTCATTTCTACTTTCTTAAACTTTATCACTCAAAGTTATTTCTCGGTGAAATATATATTCTCGAAATCGGAAGGACAGGAGTTTCTTCAAGGAATTACGCGATAAATTGCTACCCGTTCGTATCGCTATCTTATACCGATATAGATATACATGTATATACGATTTGTCATTTTATTATTTGCCTTCTTCTTGAAGTCGCCATTTCTATCTGGTTTCTGGACTGATTTTTTGATGTCTTTGACTTCTCAATCTGCACCTCTGTTTTTTTTTTCTTTCTCATCTCTTCGTCCCGTCACCGCAGTGCGGCTGAAACGTTTCATTAATCCTAACGACCCGCGGCTTAGCCAATGATCCGTTGTCCCTCTCTCACCCCTTCCCGTCATTGTGTGCAAAGATTTCCTTATATTCCCCAAGATTTCTCGTAGAAGTCAAGAAAGAGAGAGAGAAAGAAAGAGAGAGAGAAAGAAAGAGAGAGAGAGAGAGAGAGAGAGAAAGAGAAAGAGAGAGAGAGAGAGAGAGAGAGAGAGTAGGACGGAGAGTAAATTCAAGCTCTATCGATCTTCCTCCCGCGTTAAAGTCCTCTCGTGCATTTACGATCGCGCGTGATTACGTCATTGTATAAATGAATAAATGTGCCGCGGATACGGCAAACTTTTGTATCGATTAACTCGCCGCTTTTCACCAAGTTGCGATATTTTCGTTCGCGGCGTGTTGAAAGTTTCGCCGAGCGCTTTCGGTGGTCTCTTGTGCGAGCGTTAAACGTATCGATTATAATGAATCCGAGGCCACTCGCAGCTCCGAGGGTAGAGCGAGAAAAAGGAACGGAGAGAGATTTAAAGAAACGGGCAAAGGGACAAGAGAGAAAGGCGAGATGGGAGATTTTAGACGCGTGTGCGCGTCGCACACATAACCGTTCCTTTTCTCGGAATCAAAGGGCCACAATTCCCCCCTTCGGAGTTTTCGGAGCGACGTTTTAAGACGCATTTTCCTTCACCGACGACCGCCGCTATCGCGGCGGCGCGGAAACACTCGCAGACCGAGCGGAAACAATGAGATCGCTACGGGGCTCGCAATTAAAACGTTCTGGTTCAAGTGTTTCCCTTTGAGGATGCCAGAGAATCCCGAAGGAAAGTCCAGGGAGGAGGAGAAGCCCGGGGGAAAGAGGCCCCGATCAAAGAGGATTATTTCATTAAATCGACTAATCATGCGCGCGCTTTGTGTGTCCGAACGATCTCTCGTAAATCGTAACGACTCGTGACTTCATTTGCAAACGGGGCGCCGTTGTTTGTCGAACTACGCGATTACGCGCAGCCAATAATATCGCTTCGCGTTGCTCGAGCGATTAATTAATTTTTGCCTTTTGCCAAACGATGGTTTTATCAATATCTTTTTCAATCCAGCGAAATATTTCGACTTTTCTCAGCACTTGATCAAAACGTGTTAATCCTCAGGACCACCCTAGGAGGGCTATAAAAGCGGCGGATGACGGCAGGTTCGATTCGAAATTATATTTTTTGTCGTCTGAACACGTTCCCGGTGTCCAGGACACTCGCATCCCGAGGGTATTTAAAGACTCTCCGTCGTTCCACGAGGCGGAAATCGGGAGGGTTGGAGACCCAAAGAACGAGAGAGAGAGAGAGAGGGAACGGAGACGTCAGGGCGGCTCCTAAGGCAAGTAATCCTTCGAGCTCTCACGCACGAGTATTAGTCCCCGTATGAGATGGAACACATGTACGCGCACGCACACCCGCACGTTGACGTAGCTTGCACGCACACGCCCGGGGAAGCCGAAAACCGCGATCAAGTAGGATTACTTCGGAGCAATATGCTCCCTCTCTCTTACGGCCGCCTCTTTTTCTCCACCACTCTTGACCTGCCCGCGCTCTGCCCCCGCAAACCTCTCCCTATAGCCGAAGACACCCCCTCCTCTCCCCCTCCCGCATACACGCGAAATATATACACACGTGCTACCCTATCTCGCGGGCAATGGCCGTTATCTGGGAAAGCAGCCTGAAATAAGAATTTGCCGTGTGTGCCGAGCGCTAAAATCGCCAGCCGATTGCTTAGATTTGCCGTTAAACGCGGAAAGAAAGATGGCGGATAATCGACTTTCTTTCAGTTCCTTGAACTCGCCATTACACGTTACGTTAAACTTTTGTTTTACTTTCCGTTCGCGAGA